TCTTCTTCTTCTTCTTTTTTTCTTTTTTTCTTTTTTAAACAGATTTATACTGCTATACGAATGTGTATACGAGTTTCCTACGACGTTGTTATGTTCTGCTTACGGTTCGTCGGATCGATGGTCGATGAGTTTGAGTCTGAGTCTGAGAAGAAAGAGGAAGGAAGGAAGAAGAAAGGAAAAAGGAATTACGAGGCAGAGGTTGAGGGTTGAGGGTTGAAGAGGGAAAAAAAAAAAGGTGGAAAAAAAAAAGGCATTGGGGAAATAAATGAGATGGAGAGCTGAAATTCTGGAGGTAGCTTCGAGACGCATAAGACCACTCTCCCTTATGGTCTGTGGATTGTGGCTTATGAATTTGACGAGTGGCTCGATCGAGCTGGCTGTACACCAACCATTTCGAGTGCGGTCGGAGATACAATGTGGTTGGATTGGAGGGTAACACTTTTTTTTTCCCCCCTGGCTGGGCTGGGCTGGTAAGCGAGGACGATGGGAACGACGAGTATGGTATGCTTGTTGGGGGGTTGCGTAGACTCTTGATTTTGATTTTGCGACTTTGCTATGCGACGAAGCCTATTTTTCCCATTACTAGTAAGAGCTACTGAAAGAGCCTCTTCGTGCGCGGAAAAAATAATAATAATAAAATAACAGAGGAGAGGTATTCGGACGATGTCTTTGCATTTGGCGCCTCTGCCTTGATGGAAATTATGGAATGGCAGCGCTAGCTAGATTTCTATCCCGCCTAAGCCCAACGAAGATCCCGCACCCCAAATTTCGCCTAACCTAGCTTATGCCAAAGCCAAAGCCAGATTGTGTCCCTATTCCATTAAGAGAGGGGGGAGAAATGCATCCTCGTTACCACCTCAAACTCCCAAGCCAAAGCATATCCCCTCCCCGTCGACTTATCGTCCATACTGCGCCCTCAGTGCCATAATCTGCGCCCGCTCTGCTGGTGGCAATTGGTCAACCATGCTCTGCGGCATCTCCATAACCTGCCTCATCAGATCCTCCGTGTTCGGCAACGCCTGTTGTTGTTGCTGCGGGGGAGGTTGCTGCGGCGGCTGTTGTCTCTGCTGCACAGGAGCAGGTGGTGGGTATCCCTGCACATGCGTAGACGGCGTGCCCATCTGCATGCCTAGCTGTCCACTCATGTGCGGCGGTGGTGGCGGGAAGCCTGGTGGGTAGTTTCCTGGTGGAGGCGCGCTGTACGGCTGATGTTGAGCTTGTTGATGGATTTGCTGGGGAGGAGGCTGGGGCATAGGCGGCGCGGCGGATGCTTGCTCGACGACGGAGGATAGGGCTTCGGTAGATACGAGGCCCATGAGGAGTAGGGCTTGGAATATGGCGTACGAGAGCTGGGGGGCTTGATGCAGGAGTTCGGTTGCGCGGGCGGCGTCGGTCGTGGCGAGGGTTTTCATCTGCGAGAGGACGTCAAGGAGTTGAGCTGGGGGTAGGGTGTTGAGCGTGCGCGAGATGGCATCGGGACAAGTGAGTCCTTGGGGAAGCTCGACGCCGAGGGGAAGAGGGGGGATCGACGAGGGTGCTCCGCGAGGGGGGCCCTCGAGTGGAGAGGGGGCGGCATAGCCGTTGGAAGGCATGGCGATGGGCATAGGAGGGGGTTGGTGTTGGTAGTTCAATGGAGCAGACTGTGTATGTATATATCAGTACATATATTTTCGAGTCGGAGTAGAGGGAGAGCGTACGTTGTCATCGCCATTGTCTCCGTCATTTGAGAAGTCGACGCGCAGCTTGCGATTCATGATTTCGTGGTCATTGAGGTTGCGTACTGCAGAAGCGGCCGAGTCTTCATAAGAGCGAGAAGTCAGTTGTGAGTGATTTGAGATATGAGGTGAGTGAGGGTGGTCAAAGGAGGAGAGTACCATACGCACCTGAATCTGGAAACTCGACGAAGCCGAATCCTTTGGGCCGGCCCGTCTCCCTATCATACACGAGTCGGAAGTTCAGCACCTTTCCCGCCGTGCTGAATATGCGTATGATCTGCTCTTCGGTGAGGCCTGAAGTTTGTCAGTCCGTTTTGCGGCAGAAGATGCGGTCGGTCACTACTCACCATACGGGATATTGCCTACGAACACGGATTTGGAGGGCGCTTTCGACATTTCGAGCGAGGAAAGTCGAGTGGAGGCGAATCGAGTCGAGTCGAGTCGTTTGCATGTATTTCTTTCGAGTTCGACAAGCAGACAAAGGGAGAGAGAGAGCAAGAGAGAGCAAGATCACGAAACGCCTCTGCAATAGCGACAGCAAGGGCAAGCAGGTCTTTTCAAGGATGTGCGCTGCGGGTTGGACCAGATCACTTGTAGAAATGGACTGAATGGCACAGAAAAAAGTCTTGAAGAAGTGTTTCTGGCTATTCTACTGTTCTCATCTGCCTCTGCCTCTTTCAGACGGGCACTCGTACTGACGGGCACTCGTACTCGTACTCGTCTGGCCCAGCTCCGCGCACGCACCGTTAGTTCCCAGTATTGCGAAATTGTTGTATTGCGGAGTTGCGATGTTGCGATTTTGCGACGTTGTTGTGGGAAGTCGTTTGAAGGCTTAGAAGTTTGAATTCTCTGTTGGATAGACGTCGAGTTGTGATGAGGCTGAAGACGAGACGGGGCTACTTAACTCCGAACTAAATGCACTAGTAAATATTTGGATCTTCCGAGCTAAGATTCCCCAACTTCTGGATCATCGACACCACCACCAACCCAACTTCAATACAGCCCAGGATTCCGCCACCATGTCGAACTCCCCTCAGGATGTCTTTGCGAGATTACAGCGAATGGCCAGCCAGGCTGGCAAAGGTGGAGGTCCATCACCCAAAGGAATGGGCGGCGCTGCTGGATCTTTAATATTGCTGGGAGGAGCTGCCTTCGCTGCGCAGAACGCCCTGTTCAACGTCGACGGAGGTCACAGAGCTATCAAGTACACGAGAATAGGTGGAGTAAGCAAGCAAATATACGGCGAAGGTAACCTCCCTCCTCTCATTGCACACCACAAAAAGCTCGGTTGGGAGATTCAACTGCTTCATGTCAACATCTCTGGAGGCAACATGGCTAATCCCCAGTTGCTCCCTAGGCACCCATTTCAAGATCCCTTGGTTTGAAACCCCCATAGATTACGATGTCCGCGCCAAACCTCGCAATGTCGCCTCCTTGACCGGCACCAAGGACTTACAGATGGTCAATATCACCTGTCGTGTGCTTTCCCGCCCGCGCGTCGACGCTTTGCCCCAGATATACCGCACACTCGGCACCGATTATGACGAGCGCGTGCTACCGTCGATTGTGAACGAGGTGTTGAAGAGTGTCGTCGCGCAATTCAATGCCAGCCAGCTGATTACCCAGCGTGAAAATGTGGCGAGGTTGGTGCGGGAGAATTTAAGCAAGAGGGCTGCGAGGTTTGACATCATGCTCGATGATGTTTCGTTGACCGTAAGCACTTTTCACACGCACGAACCTATGGCACCTAAATACATTGATCTTCAATGCTAACTCCCGGTCCCTCCCAGCACCTCGCCTTCTCCCCCGAATTCACCGCCGCTGTCGAAGCGAAGCAAGTCGCCCAGCAAGAAGCCCAGCGCGCTGCCTTCGTCGTTGACAAGGCTCGCCAGGAGAAACAAGCCATGGTGGTTCGCGCGCAGGGAGAAGCCCGCTCGGCCGAGCTTATCGGAGACGCGATCAAGAAGTCGCGCTCGTACGTTGATCTGAAGCGTATCGAGAATGCGCGGGCAATCGCACAAATCCTACAAGATGCCGGAGGCCGCAACAAGGTGTATCTGGATTCCGAGGGGCTGGGGTTGAATGTTACGGAGGGGTACGAGGATAAGAAGGGGAAGTAGGGATGTAATAACTTGAAGGGGAACTGGGGAAGGGGGAAGAAGAAGGGGAAGAGGAAAAGGAAGGGTGCGAAACTCTCCACTGTACTGAGCTGAGCTGAGCGAGCGGGCCTAGCCGTGTATAATACTACATGATACGAAATATTCGTACGAAAGAAAGAAAGAGGTCAGGAAATGCGCCGTTCTAACTCTACTCATATATCCATCTACCTGTCGAGATTTGCCAGCCTTTTCCACATCTCTGCATACTGCATCACTTCAATCTGCCTGTTAACTCGGTCATTTGAACTTTATAGAGCATACATACTTATATACATACATACATACGTCAAAATGCCCAACCCGTCCCTGCAATCCAGCGGCGTATACAAAAACGAAAAGCACCATGACTCTCTTCCACCCACCCACTCACCTACCTACCCCCTAACATAAACACCTTTCTTTCCCTAGCAGAGGCAAAGGCAATGGCAACGAACACTCGGCAGATGTACGGAGTACGACTATAACCAATGAATCGATCGATGGAGGAAACGGATGGGAGTGGCTGGTTATCCACGCTTTCTTTTGCGAAAGAGAGATTATTTTTTTAAAAAAAAAATTTTTAGGGGGGGCGCTTGGAGTTATGAATTATTGTATAGCAGGAGAAGTAATGTAATGTAGTAAGTAATGTAACGTAGTAAGTAGTAAGTAATGTGCTGTAGTAATATAGAAGTAAGTAGGATTTATATCTGAGCTAGTTAGCTCTAGTTAGGAGTTAGGTGTGTAGTAGGACGAGATGAGATGTGTATCGTACAAGTCTGAGAAGTTTCATTTTCCTTCGTTGCTTTTTCCTGAAGATATAGATAGTACATACATTCAATAATCTCGAAGCGCTTCGTTTCCTGTACATACTACTTACTACATATATATGTAATGCCGCTTCGGCGTGCTTTTACATGCTTGACCTGCTTTCCCAACTCCGGTGCTCCATGCTCTCTCTCTCTGTTACTATTTAGTCGCCGATTTATGGACTTACTTATACACATCCCCCTCCTCATTTTTGCTTCTTCGAGCATAAAATACAAGCGGAAGGCGCTACAACCCCCAGTCCAGCCTCTCGCAGCTCCTCTTCTCCATCCTACTCCACCGTCTCAACCTTCGCAGCCTGGTTCTTAATATCCGCGATTTTCGCGATCCTCGCGAACTTCTTATCCAATTTCTTAATCTTCTTCTCAGTTTTTTGCATCTTCTTCTCTATTTTTTGGATCCTTTTCTTCGTCCTCTGAATCTTGTTCTGAGCTTTTTCGAGCCGCTTCTTCTCCTCTTTGCTGCCCGTCATCAGTGCCCCTTTCTCTGCGGATACCGTGCTCTTAAGCTTCTCTAGCGCTTCTTTGGTGTCGTGAGGGAGACCTTGCGGCTTCTCCGCTGCACCGTTCTGCCCTCTCTGGTCTGAATAGCCGATTTCCTCCTCAGCACTCTCCTCTTCTCCCTGCACATGCGGTTTCCACACCCTCTCAGTCTCACCACTACCACCACGCATGGCATGAGACTCCTTCAGCGCAGGAAGATCGACGTCTTGCCTCGGGAACTTAATATCCATTGCATTTACCGCCTGTTTCTCTACCTTCAGCCCGACGCCGCGATGCTTTTCTTGTTGCAGTTTCTGGAACTCCCTGCCAAATTTATCAATCTTCTTGAATGTCAGCGCCCACTTTTCGCTGGTGCTAAGGCGTGGTTTTTTGATATGAATATTTGCGCGGCTGGCAGCTTTCATGACCCCGTCCTCCGAGCCGAGACCAAGGGCTCGTAGGTTTTCATTGTTGGGCATCCAATTTGGATCATCGATCAGCACTTTGGGCTGGAATTTCGACTGTGGCTTCTTGCGAGCGGTTCGGCTTTTGGACTGATATCGGGGCTCGGACTCCTCATCCCCCACCTTCTCCATCCGCTCCTTCCGCTTACGGTTTCTGGTCAGCACAAAATCTCCCGCTTCTGCATTGTGTTTCTGATGCTTCGGTACCAAGACTCCAGAAGGCTTCGTTGGATCTTCAATGGGCGTCCCGATATTGAGCGTCCGGAATCCAGAAGCAGAGTACGTATTATGTCTTTCCTCCACTTCATTCCGGGTGGCTCCCGAAATACTCGGATTAGAAACTGGTGGGGCGCCTGCCGCCTCTTTCTCCTGTTCTGCCGTCAAATGTGGTGATCTGTTAGTATACCGAACTAGGTTCTCCTGTTCAAGATCACGAGCCAGTTTCGCCAGCTGATTCGGATCGTTGAGGTTGGCTTTCAGCTGGGGGTTCGCCGAAAGAGACTCCTGTTGTCCAGGTAACTTTTTTGGAGATTTCTCGAATGGATCGCTAGTTGCCATCTCACGTGTCTCTTGGTCTGGGCGTAAACAACTGGGGCTTGATTTCTTCCAGGCCGGATCTGACTCGGGATCTTCGCGAGAGGCGGCGGGTACTCGCAGAGCAAGAAAAGGCTTGCGTGGAAGTCCGGGTTCCTCGGAGATGGGTTCAGTTTTGCTCGCTGAAGCCTCCATTTCAGCGCTCACCCGGCGTTCGACTTCTACTGCGTCTTCCCAAGCTTTGCGAACATCCTCTTGGGATACCTTATGTGGCTGCGTTTGGTGGAAGAAGGCAAGACGCCGCCATTCGCCATACCTTGCAGTCACAGTAACATCCCTCATGACTCCCGCTTCTAATTCCTGGTCTGGCTGGTTGTGAGAAGCATATCCATCCCTCGACCTCTGTTTCGACCAATCAGACTCTGGGCTGCATGGAGGTGCAAGCTTCTTCTTTAATTCCTCAACCCGGGCCTCGCTAGCTTCTAGCTTTGCCTTCAGATCATCGATTTCTTTCGTTCCGATGGGCCTGTTCGGAAGTGTGGCATTGAGTTTAGCGATTTGTCTGTCAATAACTTGGTGGAGTAGGGACGAGGTAGATACAGTGCCGTCGAACATAGCTTTTGACTTGACATATTTGCCTTCCACGCCATCCCACGTCACTAGCTGTGAATTCGAGACTTGTGAGTCTGGTGGGGGATAGATCGTACCACCAGTGGACTGCTGTCTTCGTTCGTCCACTGATAATTGCCTGAGCTGGCTGTCAACCAACCTTTCTTCGCTGGCTTCATTTCTAGGTGATATCGAAACAGACGGGAGTTCCGTACGCTGCGGTGAAGATGTTGCTTCATCTGCAAAGCACATGGTCCTTTTGGCCGATTCCGATGCGGAATCTAGTTTTCCTGATCTCTCAAGTGTCGCTCTTAAAGAATCATGAGCTTGCCTGTACTCGGCAATTGCCTTCTCCGACATACCCTGCAAGTTTGCCTTGACAAGCACGCATTTTTTTAGCATTGGATCCCACTCCATAAGTGGCACTGGCATGGAGCTTTCTGTCGACTTTATCAGACGGCTGGGCGATTGAAACATTTTAGAGTGCCCATTGACCGTTGCAGTGTTAGGAGTTCGGCCATTTGCTGAATCAGAAGCAGGGCGAGAGGGCAAGATCTTTCTTTCAATTTTTTTCCCACTGTAGCCGGGTAGATTGATGGGCATTTCCAGAAGCCGCATGGCCTCTTTCATAGCATTTGCTGATCTCGCAGCTAACTCAGGCGATTTGGGTAAACCGTTGTCTGTCCGTAAAGATTCGCGCTCCGCGTAATTTTGCAACCACTGCAGGGAATTGGCTGACGTGCTTGCTGGTTTTTTAATTCTCACGGCTGAGTATTCTGCGTTGCTTGAAACTGATTTTTGGGCAGACATTCGGCGCAAATAATTCCGAAAATTCAAAGCATCGTCCGCGTTCGGTATTGCATCAGGTTCGTCGCGCGAAGCTTCCCTGCTAGCTGCATGTCGCTTCTCGAGAAACGATCGTTGGTACACAGAAGATGGCTGTATGGCAGATTGGTTTGCCGGGCATGTTGTTGTCGGTGCGTTTTTGAGAGTTCCCGTACTGATCGGTTTTGGCTGTTCAGGAGTTGTCTCTAGGAGTCCAGAAGGCGTCTGTGTAGGGGATTTGTTTGTGGTAAGTTCACACTCTGGTGTGCTGGGGAGTCCAGTGCCGGGCAGAACTAATTTATCGAGAGAAATCCGTGAGAGAGGGCTAAACGGCGACTTCTTGGTGGATGCAGCCGCTGTCTTGCTGGAATTTTTGTCGCTGGGCGAGAATGTACTTTCCGAAGATATATTCCACAGTAGATTAGATGGCAAATGATGGCTGTTTGCCGTTAATGGCGACATATCCGCTACCTTGCTCGGGCCTTCCGGTCCAGCTCGCAATGCCCTCTCAGGAGATATTGGCGGGGCTGTTTCAGTCGCGGAAGACTTCTGCTTCCCCTTCTCCTTCTTCTTCCTCTTCTCCTTTTTCGGAATCTGAGATGACACTTCGGCTGGGTTCTCTTGCTTCACATCCTTTAAAACGAATATTTCAGTTTCCCCTTCTACGCGATTCTCGTTGAGCGCAATACTGTCTCCGTCCACATCGTTTCGCTCAAGTTTTTGGCCAGCTTCGGTCTTCTCGGAGTTCTTCTTCTTCTTCTTCTTTTGTTTCAGATTCTGTGATGAAATCACCACTGATTCGTCTTTCTTCGTGTGCCCAAAGGTAGACTGTACAGGTTTTCGGTCAGCAAGATCCTTGCTGGAATTGATATTACCTAGCAATTCACCGACCTCCATATCTTCGACCACATTATTCTTCTCAGTCAGTTGGGCTTGTTTGATATTCTTGGACTTCTTTTCCTTGGTCATTAGCCTCGGAGATGACTCCTCGACCGATCCGTCTTTTTTTGATTCCTCGGGAACGGTTAATGAATTTTCTCCCTTGACGTGATTTTCGCTGGAACCAACCCAATCGAGCAATTTGTCGCCCCCTTCATCTGTATTTTCTGTCTGCTTAGATAGACCAGTAGCCGGACTTGATTCGGTATCTTCAGCATCGCTTGACTCTGTCGGCATGGGCTGGCCACTTTCCGGGGTGTCTGAAGTTGACATCGCTGGAAGCAGCCACTCAGGCACTTGCGCTTCCGGCCTGTACATCTTATCTTTTGAGGCGAAGGATTCGGCTACCTGCTTCTCAGCTTCCTTCTCGGCATCTTGGTGTCCGAATTCTTTGTCCAGTCTAGCTTCTTCCCCCACGTATGCCAACCTCATTGGTTCCTTCTCGGGAGGAAGAGAGGGGACAATCTCCTGGCTCTCTAAGTCTTGCGCCATCGAAAATTTATCTGCTGAGACTGATGCCTCTTCTTTAGCGGCTTCGTTTTCTGACGGGGCAGACTTGACTTCCGCGTCAGTCTTCGCGTCCGGACTCATACTGACTGACGCCTTCTGATCCTGTGATAACTTTCCCGGCATTTCCTCATCTCCACCTGATATAATCACTCTCGCAACATCTCCACCAGGGACAGAATTGGCCAGGCTCGCCGAGTTTGAGGGCTTGTCAAGAGGCTTGTTGGAAAACTCGCTGTGAACGAGGTACTTGCGCTGGGTGTTTTCTTTGGTGCCTTCGTCATGCAAAAGGGGTCTGTAGAGTTCGAGTCCAGAGTCAGGAAGCGGCTCTTCGTAAATGTCTTTCGATAGCACTTGTAGCTTCTGCTCCTTTCCCCCATCAAGCGGCAGATCCAGCCTCCATGACTTCCGGAAGTTTTCTTCTTTCGTTTGCATCTCCAATACTTGTTCCGGAAAAGATCTCCCAATGTACGGAACCAAGTGATCACCGTTCAAAAATGCCTGATCCCTTCTGAGTCTTGATTCCTCTGAATCTCCCAATAAAGGCCACTCTGTCCACTCAGCCCCTACGATCTCATCCGCGCTGGCATAAGAAAAGTTTTGTCTAGTCCTCATGCACAGTGCAGTCGGCGTCAACGTCGTTTTCTCCAGCCTGAGCTTCCACTCCGCGGCAGCCCTCAGCTTCAGGGCTGTTGCCTCATCCCTACCACGAATCATCCCGCCGATCGGAATCTTCGGATGCCATTTGTCTTCTCTGCCCTGACCGACATGATTGTGCAGCGAATTTGGTTGCGCGCCTTCAATCTCCAGCTTGAACTCGTGATGTAGTGAGACGAGGGTGGGTGACATGAATTCAAGTCTAGCCACCCACCTTTGGCCAGGCTTAGGAATGACATACGGTGAATGAGCGAGGATGTCAAACGGAGCCAAGTCTCGAGCAATCCGAGTCACTAGCTGCCTATACGTGTCCGCCTTCAGCGCAGGTAGCGAGTGGATCAGCAAGATATGCTCGACCGGCTTGACATCCACCTTGGTATCATGCTGATCAGACGGGGCCAGTGTCTTCGCGATGAAGAGACCGAGAAGATAAGCGGAGTTGGGATCAAGCTTGAACGCAATGTCGCATTGGCTCCTGAGGATCTCGTCATTATGGCCCTCTTCATGGTGGGATTTTCCACGCAGAGATTGCCGCTTCCTCTGGGCCTGCTCTACGGAAGTGGCCTCAGGGTTACCGAATCTTTTGAAGAAGCGCTGATTGCTTGCTGCCTCGGCCAACTGTGCCCTCCTCTCCTTGGACTTGAGCTTGCTCACGTGAGCTGCATTGCCAAGCCGTGCAAGCTTCTGGTAATTGGGAAGGGCTCTCTGCATCGATGTCGTCTGGGTGTCCAGTCAGTCCAGTTCAGTCCAGTCAGTCCGGGCTGAGAAAGGGTAAGTTGCTCACGTGTGGCCCATCGGAGCCTATCTCCCTCCCCGCTCGACCATTGAGATGCGACTGAGCCCACTGGAGTTGAGAGATACGAGATATGAGATGCGAGAGCTGCGAGGATGAGAGTAGATTATTCAAGTGGGAACTTCCTTCAATGCTGAGTCATCCATCATCCAGGGGCTGCAAAAATTTGTGGGCTCCATCTCGCACTCGCACTCGCACTCGTATTCGGACTCGGACTAGTGATCTGGATCTTCGGGTCAACTCATATCGACATTGACCACAGGTAGTCGGCTCGAACAGCCTAGGCTACGAATTGAGATGCAGGTAGAGTTTCTGCTTCCTATGAGCAGCTTATGCTCAAAGAGCTGCTATACATCGATATCGGACGCTGACTTGTTCCAGATCCCCCCTTAAATCTATTTACTCAGCTCAGAGATCATCATCTCGGCTCGAAATGAGCATGAGAACCACCGGCAGCCGCCTCCTCGAGTACCGCAATGTCCGACCACGCTGGGTTATGAGAAGACTCAAGCTCCTCCGAACCTCCAAAGATGAAAAGATCCTGGCAAACCGTTCGAAAGACGGTCCATTCGACAGTCTCGCCATGTCACGTGCCACCCAGAAACAAGGCGGCACCATTAGCATCGGGCTCGTCCTCAGTCGAGAAAGCGGGCGGCGAGCCCACCAGCTGCGATCTCGTTGCATCGAAATGCCCCTGGGCAAGACTGCGACTTTCCGCATCCCCCTGTTCAAGCCGATCCCGGCAGCACCGATCTCCCTCCGTCTGTACGAGACCATGAAGCTTCTCAGTACATCCAAGACGGTGTTCGAACTCGAGGTCGAGGCCCCGTATGTTGCTGGGTGTCTTGTGGGGTTTACCACGAAGCAGGATCCGGGTGTTCAACGATTACAGCACAAATTCATGCACGCGTTCGCGATCGGGGCTGCCACGGACGGTGAAGGGAATCCTATAGCCTACACCCTCGACCCCAAACTCACAATTGCAAAGTTCCCGCTTGGCGCAAAGGCTTTTGTCAGATGTCTTGAGCACGCCAAGGAAGAGTATCAAATCGGTATTCATCCTCTCACAGTTACAGCTCTCTGCTTCAGGTACTCGCCTGCGATGAGAGGAAATATCAAATGGGACCCGCATCATATCAGCCGGCAATGGTTCGACTTCCCTCTTGTGGGCGCGGACAAAGTCGAGGCTCGACATCGAGAATATATGGCGTTCAAAGGTAGATTAGCGGCTCACAAGGAGGAGATTAAGGAGAGGTTGAAGGCTCAGGAGGAGGCTCAGACGGTCTTTAAGGTCATTGGGCCTGAGAAAGCTCCAGAAGCGCTGCAAGAGCGACCCAAAGTCCCAGTGGGACTGTCGCGAGATATCGCCAAGTATTTTAGGATGACGCAGGAGGAGGCAAGAGTGGCTGCTGGGTTGCCGATCGAGCGGCATTGGTATGTGAAGGAACGCCGGAGAAAGGACCAAGCAGGTGTGAATGAGCCGCAGGCTTCTGCCTGTTCGCCAATTGACACCAGTTCAGGACCTGGGGTCTAGCTTTCGGCGCGAGCTGGACCATACCTGCGGTTCTATGGCCAGTTCTACGGTATGCAAACTAGATTGACCTCGTGCGATACCGCCTCGGACGCACAGGTAGATAACCGGACTGAGCCTGGTGATGCGACGCAGAGAGGAAGTAGCCTCAGGCAGTCCTCTGCACTCGAAGTCGTAGACCGTTGCTCTGAAGATGGGCACAGGAGACGAGATGCCAGGATATAACGAAGTCCTTCGCAAAGTAACACTCACGCCTCACTCAACAGAAAACATCGAGGTCGAGGTCGAGGCGTCCGAGCAAATCTTGTACATCATGTAAAAACAACTGTGAATTCTGGCCACACTATCTCCTGTAGGTAGGGCTCTCTGCCATCCTGGGCAGCTTGTTCTTCGTGCACGTCAACATGCGTTCCTGCGAGTATTCAAAAGAAAGACGCCCGAGATCCGATGCAGCTTCTGCTCCCCAGCGAACGAGCGAATATTCCGGGCCTCAGTCCCAATTTTCAGATTGAAGACTACCTTAACTAAGCCGGCAGACGCTTCTGGGACCAGTCCCATTCTCCGCGTCGCCCCAAGATCCTTTCTCCATGACACGCCCCCGTCACAGCCTAGACTGGCAAGAACGCCTTACTTCGCGGTTGGAGTCGACATTGAAAAGGACCTCAAGGCTACTACATTCACCCTGCAAATAAAAGATTCCAACATAGATCGTAGCTCCACGACCCAGCCTCTATCCCCTGCCTCTACACTCAATAGAGACGACATCAAACATGTGCGATTTCTAACCGCCGCATACCATATCCCGTTCTTGCTCGTGCGGCAAGGGCGTAAGCGAAGTCAGCAAACGCAAGGTGAAGCTCATCCTCGCCGGCTCGACGGGCTTCATCGGCACCGAGGTCCTCATGCCGGCCCTACTGATTGTCAGAATAGCATTCATCGTCGCGCTCTCCCTGATTATCAGCCCCTGCCAGAGCCCTTTGGCACCACAAAAGAAAGAAAGAAAGAAAGAAA